GCACAGGTGCGGTCTGCATCCGAGGAGAGGCAGAGGCAGCTCCCTGTGTGGGACGCAGCACAGGTGTGGTCTGCATCCAAGGAGAGGCAGAGGCAGCTCCCTGTCTGGGCTTCCTGGGGCCACACAAAGTACCACCAACTAACTTAAAACAACAGTAATTCCTTCCCTCATGGCTCTGGGACCACAAGTCCAAGACCAAGGTGTCTCACAAAGCTGCAGAGGAGGATTGGCTCTTCTATTTCTTCCAGCTCCTCGTGGCCACAGGAGTTCTTTGGCTTGTGGACTCAAGGCTCCAATTTCTGCCTGTTATCATGTGGGCTTTGCCCCATGCCTGTGTCTTCTCTGTTCCCAATAAGGACACTTGTCATGGAACTTAGTGCCTACCTGGACAATCCAGGCCAATCTTACCTGCAGATCTTAAGTACAGCTGGAAAGACCCTTTTCCAAATAAGGGTGCACTCGTGGGAGGTGGTTGCTATGATTCACCCCCCACGTGCCCCTCTCCAAGCCATTCTCACATCTCCTCGCCCCCCGAAAATGCTGGAGGGGTGCATGGAGGTAAGGGTCAATGGGATGTCCCATGTGGAAGGGGCTGTCATGCTGGGGGGTTGGACAGTCTTCCTTTTGTGCAGGTGCCCTCAGCCTCCTCCCATCATGCCCTATGGATTGGAAAGGGCTTTATCTGGGATGGCGGCAGGGCTGCCAGGGCTGTGGGTAGCAGGCAACAGGTTACGGGGCAATGGTCAGCTCTACTGGGTTGGAAATAGCAGAAGTGTCTGTCCAGACAGGTGACTCACCTAACCTCTCTGAGCCTTAGTTTCCTGGACTGAAAAATGGACAAAGTACTTATCTGGAAGGGCACTGGGGAAGGCTGACTTAGACAGTGGCTGGGGAGTGTGGGTCAGGGGACTGCCACGTGTGCATGGCAATGGTGCCCTCTTCTTGGAGCTCCAGTCTGGGCCCTGCAGGAGGTGGGGGTGTGAGGGTGGGTTCCCCAAGGACCCTGGTGGGCACTGCTGTGACCAGGAGCCTGGGGGACCCTCCAGCCACTGGGGAAAGAGTTCTGCTTTGTCCCCCACCCGAATGTCCTCCCCGCCCCTGTCAGAGGCCCTCGGCCGCACACCTGTCTGATCTGCCGGAAGCTGTGTGGTGACACACTGGAGAAGATGTTGCACTCTGGCTGCGCGAGGATCTGGAAGGCCACGGCACAGTGGTGGTTCTCCAGCGGCGAGATGTCATTGTAGCGGACCGCCAGCTCTGTGCGGGCATTGATCTGGTACCTGAGTGTGGGGGAGTAGGTGGGCTTAGGCACCAGCAAAGCCTGTGGCCTGCCGGGTCAGGAACTCACTGCTACTGCCTCTGCCGTAACCAGATCCCCCCAACTTGGTGTCGTTCTGCCAGATGGGCCCCACTGAGGAACCCAGAGTTCTCCCAGGATGGTGCCCTCAAGACATCGCGGCTCTTGCAAAACTGTCACATTTTCAATATGTGCCAAAGGCAGGCTCCTGGGAGAAGAGGCAGGCTGCCCTTTTGTGTCAGCAGCTGTGCGTAAGGCCTCTGTGCTGGCCTGTGGGGTGCACGGCCACACCTTGGAGTCCACTCTGCCAAATAGTGGCAAGGCTCTCAGGGATGTCTGATGGCTCCCCACAAACACACCCACGTTCAACAGAAAGAACAGAAAGAACAGAAAGATGTGTCACCCTGAGTGCATGTGGCCTGGACTTTGTCAGTCACGTGTGGTAGAGCTCCGTGTCTACAGCAGCAGGAGCCGGGTGACACCCTGCAGCTCTAGGCCCGTCAGCCCGTTGTCCTGACCCTCTGCCCCACAGTGGGCCCCTTCTCCCCCCCACTCCAGACCTTGTTTCCAGCACAGCCCTGGCAGAGGCAGACAGGAGGCTGCTGGGGAGCGGTAAGCTCCAGGGCCTCGCTCCCTCCTAGGGGCACGGATGTTGGCATTGCCAGGTCTCTGCTGTGCACATGCTGAGCATGGCACCAGGCCCGCGTGGGGTGTGGTGGCCCCTGGGGTTTAGCAGCCCTGAAGGGTCCTGGACCAAGTCCAACAGCCAGAAGGAGCCGTGGCCTCAGGAGGCCACTGTTAGGGGCTCAGAGTCCGTCGCAGACAGCACCATCTTGGAACTGTCCAAGGTTTGGGCTGATAGGTTCTTCTGACAGCCAAGGCGCCTTTTACAAGAAAAAAGAGAAAGTCGTGCACCTACGTGTTGTTGTATCCGGGGTGATCCAAGTCATGGCAGATGGCTGCTGTCATTAGGATCAAGATATCCATTTGGGAAAACTTCTCCTGCATTGGAAAATGAGTTCAGGTTTGGAAAAGGGTGGGACAGGTGGGGTGGGGGTCGGAATGGGACGAAGGAGCCTCAGCCTGCTGGGAGGGGACCTGCTGTTCTCTGGGCGGGGGAGCAGGTCAGGGGCACTTGCTCATATAATCCCAGGTGTGTCCTCACCCAGTGGGGTGCCATGAGAGGAGGAGCCCTGGGACAGATTAGCCACTCACTGGAAGGAGCCCTGTCCCGGAGCGTGGAGTTGGGGTGACCAGCCAGCAGGACTCACCTGGAGACCACAGAGCCAGACCATGCTGTACATCATCTGTGCCACGCAGAAGCAGTGCCGGAAGTTGTGGAAAGGGTTGTTTCTGTAGTTGTCGTGCACACAGAGCTGTGGGAGAGGCCGGGGGAGCAGCTGCCCGAGTTGGCCTGCACACCTCCCTCCCCAGATTGCCCAGAGGCTGCCAAGGTTTCAGATACTCTCTGCCAACCCTCTTGAAGCCACAGTCAACAGTGCTCCTGTGTCTGCCACAGGTCTGGACAGGGTGGCCCAGGGAGCCCGAGAATGGCCAACAGGCCCCACAGCAGCTCCAGGGTCAGGTGTGGGGATGGAGCTCCCATTGGGATTTTTACCCTGGATCAGGTACTGAGGTGTCCCTGGAGTTGTTTGAAAAGCCACACTGGGGTATGAAGTGAGATGGTGGGGCAGGGAGACCACAGAGGGGTTCAGGTCTCCTGGGTACCACAGAACCTCAATAGGCTTTTCATGTTCCCAGCAATGTTTTATTTAAAAAAAAAAATCTGGGCTGGGCACAGTGGATCAATCACGCCTGTAATCCCAGCACTTTGGGAGGCCAAAGCAGGTAGATTCCTTGAGCTCAGGAGTTCAAGATCTGCCTGAGCAAAGCAAGACTCTGTCTCTACTAAAAATAGAAAAAATAGCCTGGGGTTATGGTAGGCACTATAGTCCAGCTACCTGGGAGGCTGAGGCAGGAGGATTGATCGAGCTCAAGAATTTCAGATGGTTGTGAGCTGTAAGCTGTGACACCACAGCACTCTACCCAGGCAACACTAAGACTGTCTAAAAAAATCTGCTGCTAAACACACTTGTGTACACCCCCCCACACGCTCGTGCACACAC